TAGGGTTTCCTGCCTAGGCAGGGGGTTGGACTAGAAGACCTCCAAGGTCCCTTCCAACTCTGCTATTGTATTATTATAAGATCAAATGAGGTACTAATACCACTCTATAAAGCCTTAGGAAGACCATACGTAGAATGTCAGTTGGTCTTACCTGAACTGCAGGTCTCTAGGTTCCCGTGGGAGGAGTCATTGATGGGATATTCTCACACCCCATTTGCCTTGAGACTGAGGTTAAGTTGAGGCTACTGCCTCACTTACTGGCCTCCAGTTTAATCAAAGGTCAACGGTATAAGAGGAATCTGGTAGGAATGGTAAGGAACAGCAAACGGAACACAAGATCAACAACCAAACCAGTCAAGAACCGAACCGACCTAATACAACAAGAACGCTCAGGTACTTCCAGCATCAGCACCCAATTGGGATGGGAAGTGACTCCTCCCATGGGAACCTAGAGACCTGCAGTTCAGGTAAAACCAATTGACAGTCTCCTAGGTGATCCCGTGGGAGGAGTCATTGATGGACATACTAACGCTCGATGTCCCAGGGAGGGAATCGGAAGCCTGAGCCTCCCGAGGTGCTAACACTCTCTGCAGAACCTGCCTACCAAATGAAGCCTCCGCCGAAGCATAAGTGTCCACCCGGTAATGTCTGATGAAAAGCGAAGGGGAAGCCCAGGCTGCTGCCCTGCAAATATCCTCTATGGGTGCCTGGGTTGACCAGGCTGCAGACATGACCGCGCTCCTGGTGGAGTGGGCCGTAATTCCAGCTGGCACCGTAAGGCTACGAGCCTCATACTCTCTAGAATTGCCAAACTGATCCATCTACCAATGGTAGCTGAGAATACTCTAGCCCCAAGGGTGGAAGGCTGGAAGGAGACAAACAACGCCTCCGACCTCCGGAGGGGAGAGGTACGTTAAAGGTAGATGCGCAACACCCTTCTCACATCTAGTCGATGCCAGAAGCGTTCCCTCTCCCTGGATGGTGCTGGACAGAAATCCGTCAGGACTATCTTCTGTGCCCTGTGGAAAGGGGAATTGACCTTGGGTAAGAATGAAGGGTCTAGTCTGAGGACCACCCTGTTCTCATGGAATGTGCACAGATGGAGGACAGTGTATTGATCTCAGAAATGTGCTTGGTGGATGTGATGGCCACCAAGAACACTACCTTCAGGGTGAGGAACTGTCGACTCATCGTCCTTAATGGCTCAAAGGGAGCCCCCGTCAGCACCTGCAGGACCACTGAAAGATGCCAAGTGGGGAAATGATGGATCACAGGGGGCATAAGTTTGGCCGCCCCCCGGAGAAACCTTTTAATGATCGGATCCTGTGCTAGGGAACAGGAACCCAACCCCCCAAGAACCATTGTTAATGCTGCAACCTGCCTTTTGAGGGTGTTATGGGAACCCCCTTGTCCAGCCCGTCCTGCAGGAACTCCAGTACCTGAGGTATCGAGGCTTGCGCTGGATCTACCTGTGCAGAATGGCACCAGGACACAAAAGTAGTCCAAGTGGCATTGTAGATATGGGTAGAGGATTTTCTTCTGGAGGCCTTGATGGTCGTAATGACTCTGGCTGAAAACTGAGCCGCCCTCAAGTATTCCCTCTCAAGTGCCAAACAGTCAACTGGAGCCACTGAGGCTCCAAATGGTGCAGGGTCCCCTGGCATAGAGCCACCTCCCCCAGGGGAATCCTCCAGTGGGGGGAAACAGGCAGATCTATCAGGTCCGCGACGCAAGGCTGACAGGGCCAATAAGGGGCTACTAGAATGACCTCTGCTCCCTCCGCTGCCAACTTCCTGAGGACCCAGGGACTTACTTGGACTTAATCTTCGTAAATGTCAACGTCCACAAGGCAGTGACCGTTGCATTGTGAAGGCCAAGGGCAGAACGTCATGGATTACAGAGTTGTTTATCCGTGTGTTGTCCTGCCATTGGATTCTCAGCTTGTTTCACGGTTCCGTCGCCACGGGAACCAACACTCCCCATTTATCTGGGCTTGTGACCGGCAATGGTTTCCCATAGGCTGGGTGAGGACCCAGGGAATGAGGGGAAGAGGGGGAAAGGCATACAGGAGGCCCTCTGGCCAATGACACTGCAGGGCATCCACATCCTCCACACCCCAAGCTGGGTACCGGGAGATGAACCTCTGGACCTGCGCGTTGGCTGGCGTGGCGAACAGATCCATAACTGGCCTACCGAACCTCTGGCAAATCCTGTCGAAGACCTCAGGAAGCAGTTGCCATTCTCCATGGTCCACTGTCACTCGGCTGAGCCAGTAGGCTTGCAGGTTGTCCATCCCCGAGATATGCTCCGCCCTTAGCAACAGAGATGATGTTCCGCCCAATTCCTCAACTTCGCAGCCTTGTTCTGAAGGGCCTTTGAGTGGGTGTCCCCCTGCTTGTTGACATGTGGTTTCGCAGCAATGTTGTCTGTCAGCACCAGCAGGTGCTTCCCCTCGAACTTTACCTTGATGGAGGGGTAGGTGGATCGCTCTGAGCTCCAGCCAGTTGATGTTCTTGGGCCAGCTGGGAGTCGAGATGTGCCCCCCAACCAAAGAGACTCACGTTGGTCGTCAACACCAACCTGTCTGGCTCTCCAAATAGAGCCCCTTTGTCCATGGCAGGAGACGTCCACCAGCACAGACAGCCAGACTTGGGGTGGAACAGGAGTCTGGAATGTTGCATCGCTGGCATCGTCCCTCTGGAATGGAAGCAGCAGCCATTGCAGCTCTCTGGAGTGAAGTCGAGCCCATGGGACAATCGCTATGCAGGAGATGCACTTCCCCAGCAGATGCGAGAGCAACACTACAGGGACAGAATGTGCCCTATGGATCTGCTGGACCAGTTGGCAGATACTGTCCCTACAATCTTGTGAGAAGTACACCCTACTCTCCACCATGTCAATGACCGCTCCCAGGTGTTGCAAGCGTGTAGAGGGCTCTAAATGGCTCTTCTCGAAATTTACGGAGAAGCCCAAGGACTGCAAGGTCCTAATGGTGAACTAAAGGTCCTTCTTCGCAGTCCCAGGACTGCGCCCCTGAACTAGGACATCATTTAAATAAATTTGAGTTCAAATCAGGACAGACTTGAGGTAACCCACAACCACCATCAACACCTTAGTGAAGGTCCTGGGGACCAAAGCCAGACCAAAGGGAAGGGCCCTGTTCTGATAATGGACCCCCCCATATGAAAATCTAAAGAACCTCCTATGGTCCGGTGCAATCAGGATATGGAGATAGGCTTCTGTAAGATAAATGGAGGCCAGGAATCCCCAACCCTGATCCCTTCGAGGATAGACTTCAAGGAAGCCATTTTAAACCTCCGGTAAACCAGCCTGGAGTTAAGCAACTTTAGATCAAGGATGGCTCTCCAGCCCCTTGAATTCTTTGGAACTACAAAAAGGTTGGAATAGAAACCAGAACCTCTCTGGTCCTCTGGAACCAGTTCGATGGCCTGAATGTCCAGCAGGTGCTGGATGGCTGTGCACATAAGCTCGAGCTTCACCGGGTTCTGAGAGGAGGAGGAGATCCAGAAATGAGAAGGGGGGTGAGAACGAAACTCCAAATGCAACGCACAACGAACAGTGTGGAGGACCCATTCATCAGAAGTGATGAGGTCCCAGTGATCCACAAAGTGAGTGAGGAGACTGCCAATAGGAAGATCCGAGCCCAGATCATTTATTCCTGCTGTAGGAATGGTCACCCACCCCTCGAAAGGGCTGCTTGTTGGGCTGTTGGTATCGATTCCTATCGCTATAATATTGCCTATCCCCTTGGCGAGGGTACCTAGGGGGAGGGTACCTCTGTTGCTACTGGTAGCCCTGCTCTGGGGGCTGATATGCAGGCCTCCTCTGGTAGGGCATCGACCTTTGTTCTGCCTGCTTGGAAGAAGAAGGAAGGATCTTACGCTTGTTCCTGTCCTCCACCAGCAGCGGGTCCAGGGATGCTCCAAATAGCTTGTTGCTGGAATACTCTGCTGCCGCTAAGGTCCACTTGGACCAGGCCTCCCCCTGCCAACTATGAAGCCAAAGCAGTCTCTTGGATGCCACTGACGTGGTGAGTGCTTTGGACGTGTACTTGACCACATCAAGTGTGGCATCCGCTGAGAACTGGGCAGCAGTAGTGAGCTTTGTGATGTCCTGCAAGAGACATACCTCCAAAGCCGGAACCCTCTCCTGCATCTGGGTCAGCCAGAGAAGGGTAGACCTTCTTTGCCTTGATTGCCCACATGGCTGCCTGGAAGTTCTTGCGCAGAGTCAGTTCAGCTCTCATATCTTCCACCTTAAGGTTGTTGGCCACCAGAGAGGAGGAGGCCAAAGCCGCCACAGGTGGGTCCACTGTCGGAATCTGTAAAGCCTGAGAGAAACTAGGATCAAAGTTATAAAACCGGTGATCGTTGCTGCCTGGGGTAGGAAAGGCCGTGGGCTTCGCCCACTGGGACTTGAGAACCTCCATGAACATAGGGGGAGTAGGGAGCTCCTCCTTTTCTACTGGGGGCTTGTGGAATTGCCCCTTTTTTGTGCCTGGAACCAGGGTAGACAGAGTGCTCCCAGCAGCAGGAGCCACCTCCAAATCCGCAATGGCCTTACTCTTGTGCAGAAGGGAACCAAATTGGGAGGGGGGGAAATAAACCAGTGAACACGAAAGCCTCTGGAACAGGTTCTTCATCATCAGAGAAACCAACCTCCTTCTTACCCCCTTCATCTAACACTGAGAATATCCCATCAATGACTCCTCCTACCGGATCACCTAGGAGACTACTGCATCCAGTTTTGGTTACCACACTATAAAAAAAAAGTTGAGACTCTAGAAAAAGTGCAGAAAAGAGCAACCAGGAGACTAAAACAAATGAAGAACGATTACAGGAACTGGGCATGGCTAGTCTAGGAGAAGGACCAGGGGAGACATGCCAGCAGTGTTCCAATATTTGAGGGGTTGCCACAGAGAGGAAGGGGTCAAGCTATTCTCCCAAGAACCTGAAGGCCAGATGAATAATGGGTGGAAACTGATCAAGGAGTGATTCAACTTAGAAATAAGGAGGAACTTTCTGATAGTGAGAACAATCAACCAAGGGAACAGCTTGCCTTCATAAGTTGTGGGAGCTTCATCACTGGAGGTTTTCAAGAAGAGATTGGACTGCTACTTGTCAGAAATGGTGTAGGGTCTCCAGCCTGAGCAGGGGTTGGACTAGAAGACCTCCAAGGTCCCTTCCAATTCTGTTAATCTGTACATAGAAGAATGCCCTCCTTCTCTTAGCAGGTATTAGGATACATTTCAGTACTTACCTTCCCCTAATATCTTCTAACCTAATTAAGTCATGAGGATCTTCCTGAACAGCAGTTTGACCTTGAGGTAGAATTGCAGATAACAGCCTGAGAGACCTTTGGGGACAGATATCCGTCACTGCTCCTTTTGAAAAAGTCGGGGTTAATCCCGTTTCTCCTCTCTAATAAAAGGAATGGAAAGGAGAGAAAGCATCTGAGAAATAATTCTTGCTTCTTCGTGTCTATTTTTATTTGATATCTTCTGTATCATATACTGTACATCAATGATGGCTAACCTTTTTCTAAAGGTGTACCAAAACTGTGTGCATGCGCCCACCCACCTGCACAAGCAACCCCCTGACCTGCGCATGCATGAGCACACACACACACACACACACGCCCATGGGTGAGCAACCCCCAAGTGGGGGGGAACTTTCCTGAAGCTTGGGCAGGGCGAAAACGGCCTCCCACAGCCCTCTGGAGGCCTTGAGGGGGGCAGCAGGGGCCATTTTCAC